GTCCCAGTGTTCTCCTGGTGGGCCCATCTCCCCCACTGCCCGTGCTCCAAACCCTTCCCATGGGATGGGCCCTGTGCTGGTCCCTTGTGATGACTCACTGGCCTCTGAGTGGCTCCCCTTTTTCAGCTGTTCTGGCTCCTCACTCCTGTGTGGGTCTATGGGAACCCTGTTAGTGGTCATGCTGTCCTGGGGGCCAGCAAAGTCCTCTTCTCCCCTGCCGCCTCCAAGTAACTCCATCTAAAGGGCACAGCTGCTTCTGCCGGCTTCTGCTCCATGTGCTCCAGCATTAAAGTGGCTGCAGCCCGAAATGCTGAGAGCAGTTTTTTCTTTCTCTCTTCGTGGTTTCTCACACCTTCATGAGTTCCATAGGTCTCTCCTCCTCTTCACCTGAGCTCTAGAGGCCCCAGCTTGGCTGATGTTACATTTTTATAGTTGTAAATTCATTGATTTGTGGGAGAGAGTGATACTGGGGACTGTCTATTCTGCCATCTTGACTGGAAACTCCTTTGACATTTTTGACAAATCCCGAAATTAAATTCTAAATTAAGTATTTTTGACCTCACATTAACTTTGAGACTTTCCAGAGATCTCCTTGAAAATCCTAAAGGATTTGTCCCTCATTTTATAAAAAGAGAGAATAATTGGGTTTATGTGATACATTATGTGGGAAACATTGTCAAATAAAAAGTGATGCTAAATCTTCTGTAGATGTATTTGTATGGATTTACGTCATTATTATAGGTATTTGAGAAGTTGTATGAAGTTCATAGAAATTTGCCAGTCCCATCGCTGTTTGCGATATGTCTGGTGTAGTGTTATCAGTCATAATTTCAGTCACTATGTTAAATGCCACAGAAATAACTAAATTTACGTACCAAATGAACTTTTATCAGATCTTTAACCATGGCCATTTTAAGTCCTTTGTCATTCACAGACGGTTATTGTTTTACTCTGATCCTTTTCTGGAAGCTTTTACAAGCAGCTGTTACCAAAAAGTGCTTTATCTTCAGAGAGATTCATGGAAAAGACTCTGACAATTGCAGGTTTCTGATAACTTTACAATCGTACCATTGGACTGAGTAAGAATTTCCAGAACTCTAATGAAGAAACTGATGGGTTCATGAAACTGTTAACTCAAGATCAAGCAGAACAAGAATTAGTAACATGGAACTGAATGAACTGATAAAGGATGATTCGAGGTTTTGTTTTGGATCACTGCTGGTTCTTTAATGTTTTATTTCTAGATTTAAGGAACCCCTTTCTATTTTCTCTTAAGCTGTCTATAACGTACAGTAATTTGGTAAAATATACCTTTGTGAACAAAAATGATATATTTACTTTTTCTCCCTGCCTAATCCCTCCAGAATTCAGAAACTTAGTATTTTTATTTTTATAGCAATACAGTTATTTGCATAAGTTCAATAGGAATCTGTTCTCCTTATAACAGGACACAATTGGAAACATTGGTTATATTACCAAGGCTTTGACTGGAATGTTATATTTGAGAATGATGCATAAAATCAGATATGACCAGACAGATTTAAGGAACTAAGGTTGACTTTAAGGCACCAGTGCTTATAAAGCCACCTTGGAAAACTGGCCTGATACCTTGCTTAGAGGGTTCCCAGCCTTACAGGTGAGTAAGGAAGGTCACTTCCTGGCAGTCCTGGGAATATTTTAGGAACCTCAGAAAGAGAGGAATTCATTCATATCTATAGGTACTGAAAGTGAAATCTGGTGGTGAGTTTCTGGCTTGGCTTCCTAGCGTTGACAGGTTTTAAAAGTGTAATCTGATATTTCTTTGAAAAGTTCCAGCAAAGCAAATTTTAAAAGGCCTCTGAATGGTCAGTTACCATTCTTGCTGTACTTATCAGACCAAATCTGAGACCAGACTAACTTTGTAAAGCAGAATGGAAAGGGGCATGACTGTGGAAATTTTTTTGTTTTAATGAAAAACAGTAGTACACCCTGGAGGGTTCTTCTTGCACATTTTGCCAGCCCTTACCAAATTCTCAGTTCTTCTAGTTTCCTCCAATATCTGGCTCTAACTCTCCATATGGATGTTTCCAATTTTTTTCCTGCTCTCCTGACTTGGCATAACTAAAACTGCCCTTTTCTTGAAGCCCTGCAAGCTGAACCTGGATGACTTAATAAACTTCATAGAAATCATAACAGATAATGTATGGACAATCTTCATGTCTGTTGCTGTGTGAGCCGCTCAAGAAGTTCATCTTAACGCCCGATGACATTACCAGAGACATTCAAACTGCAAACCAAGAAAGTCTGTCAGATTGCCATGACCTGTCCTCCCTCCATCTGAAGATGCTTCTAGCCCAACACCTAGAAATCTTCTCAACTGACTGCCCTCCGGACTCGAAAACTGAGTTTATAGTTTCTTCTAACCATTAACCTTTGTTTTTCTTCTATTTTCATAGAAATTCCCCTTTTGTAATGCCTTATTGCTCACACCATCTAGCATATATCCTCTAATACCAAGTCCCAACAGATGATTCAGCTGTTCCTTAATGAACAAAAGGCGACAGAATGAGAAAATGGACTTATATTGTTTAAAGGAAGGGAGAGACAGATCTCTTCTTTCCTTGAACAAGAGGGAAAGATTGACAAAGATTACCTTGCTTACAGAGCTTTAACAAGTATTATTGAATACTTTTTTCTTCAACAGATTGTTTGAACAAATTGCTATTGCAGAAACTAATGCAACTTTTTTACTGAGAAGTTTGTTTACTTTTGGTTACTTTAAATCTAATTCATATTTATAATACTTTTTAGGTCAACATGTAGTAAAATCTCTCTTTATACTTTTTTGGTATTTCTCACAGTGCTTTGCGTCAATATTTGGAGGTAGATAAAAGAGTTGCATATAAATTAAAAATGTACTTTCCACTAAAATTATACATAGTAGAAAAATTAGAAAATAGTTATACGAAGAGGGAGAGAAATACCCCTGAATCACCACTACTCAAAGACAACCACTGTTAATGTTTTGGCATATATCTACCCACACACTGGTGGAGAGAATGCAGTGTCTTCTGTTCGGCACTTGTGGGCAGAGTTGGTTAGTGTGTGAAGGATGGAAAGAAGTAAAAGAAATAGAAGTGAAGGGAACTACCATGAATTAAGTATTGTCTATGGCCGGGCACTGTGCTTTATTTAAAACTTTTTTGGAGGTAGGTGTTCTCCATCTCATTTTCCAGAAATGGAAACTGAGATTTTTGGAGGCATTCAGATCTTGTCTATGGTAAGTAGTAGAGTTAGGACATGGGTCCAGGTCTCATGACTTCAGCTCCTGTTATAACTAAGAAAACATAGATCATGTCAGTCCTTTATTCTTAACCTGCTAGTGGCTTCCCATTACACTTGGGGAAAAAAACTCAAGTCCTTTCTTTACTTTATAAAGCACCTGGTCCTCTCTGCCCAGCTCTCTTGATTAATTCCTGTCACTATCCTTGCTCACTGTGCTCTAGCCTCAGTGGCTTCCTCACTTTTGCTCGAGCACAGTATGCATGTCTGCCTCAAGGCCTTTGCACATAGTTTCCTCTGTCTGGGACACTCTTAGGTCAGATCTTCACATGATTTGCCCTTTCAGCTCTTCCAGGACTTTGCCCAACTGCCATCTCTTCCAAAAGCTTTCCCTGACTACTTTACCTAAACTAGCAGCAGATGTCTCGGTGTCTTCACCTAGCTTTATTTTTCTTCATAGCACTTACCATTTTCTGATATTATATTTTGCATTTATTTATTTATTGCTTGGCTCTAAATACACTTGAGGGCTATGTCCCCACTGCCTAGAACAGTGCCTGGCATATAGTAGACTCTCAAATATTTCTCTATAAATGAATGAAAAGAACTTAAGAATTCTTAAGTGCAAAAGGTAACTTTTGGCTTGTTTAATTAAAATTACCCTTAATAAAATATGCCTTTTGGGATATCCTTAATGACTGAAACTTTTATGCAATTAGGTCTTAGGTACTTGATACCAAACTTTAAAACTGAGTGGGGATTTTGATCATGCACACAAAGTAAGTTATAATGTTCTCCAAATCATGTGCTTTCCCTGCTTTTTAAGGGGACAGGACATTTAAGAGGTCATAGAGAGAAAATGCTGATTTTTCAGATATGTTTTATAGGTCTATTATAGACCTCAAATAGTTTTCCAGTGGTTCTTAGTTTAAGTTGCAGTACACATTGCCACAGGGCTGAAATGTTTTTAGTCTTGATGAAATAATTTAAAAATAATTATATAACGTATACAACAAAAATCTCTGAAGGCTCCAAATGTGTATATCATAAGCTTTTCCCCAGACTTTTCTAAGGAAAAATTTTGAACTTCAGAACTTGAAAGGAAGGTATAATGAACACCCATATACCCTTTACCTAGATTGACCAATTGTTAACTTTTTGCTAAATTTGTTATCTGCTTTGCTTCTTCCCTCCCTCTCTCTCTCTACACACACACATATGTGTATACACACATACCGGTTTTTTTGTTGGCTGTTTAAAAGTTGCAGAGTTTCAGACATCATGACACTTTACCCCTAAATATCTCAGTGTGTATTTTTAAGAATAAAGACATTTTCCTACATTAGTACATCACTATTATCACACCAAAGGAAGTTAACATTGTTAAAATAAAAATACCTAATGTACAGTCCATACTCAAATTTTCCCTAGGGTCAAAAAATGTCCTTTGTAGATTTTTTTTCCCAGTCAGGAATCACACATGTGGCTGTAATGGCTCTTTAAGTCACTTTTAATCTAAAATAGACCCCTCACCCTTGTCCTACCCCCCTTTTTGTGTCTTTATGACATTCACATATTTGAAGAATTGAGATTGATATTCTGAATTTGTTTTCTCCTTATTAGATTCAGATTAAGCATTTTTGGCAAGAAAAATGCATAGGTATATATAAGGTTTTAATGTTTAAGAGATTTGGAGCGAAAAGTAAAACAAAGGATACTTTTCCCCTTTTTCTCTGCAGGATTCTGAACACAAGCAGTTTGCTGTGTGACTGCCATTTGAAGTGGTTTCTTCAATGGCTGGTTGATAATAACTTTGAACATTCTGTGAATGTAAGCTGTGCACACCCCGAATGGCTAGCAGGGCAAAGCATCCTGAATGTGGATCTGAAAGATTTTGTCTGTGGTTTGTATTATTGTTTTAAAATTTTATGTATTAATACTTACTATCTTAACAACAGAATTTTAAAAAATTAAACTAGAATGCTTTCCCACTAACACATCTATTTTTATTTTTCTGTGTTGTTCTTCAATCCATGTTTCAATGATGAGATCTTTACATTTTTGTAATCATAGGTTAAATTTTATATTCTTTGACTTAATATTTATATTTTTCTTTTATGATAATATTTCATAAGCAGTTTTTTCTCTGTGTTCTTAATTGATCATCTTTAATGATAGTATAATAGCATCTTTATGAATGTAGGCCTTTCCGTTTTAGGGAGATTGTTAACTTTAGGATAAATATCCAGTAGTAAGATTACTGAATCAAAAGCATGATTTTTTTTTTTTTGCATGAACATTTTTAGTAGGTCTTGAAAAGTGCCGCCACGTGTTTTCCAGAAAGATAGTTTATGTTGTCACCAGCAGTGTGTGAATGTACCAATTTATTGTGGTTTGTATTTTTGATACAATTTCTTAAAACTAAAGTCGCAAGGTTTTGGTTTTTCCTTGAGGACAGGGGAACAGTTATAGACAAATTGTCTTGACTCTATCACTAGTAATTTCAAGTATACATCTATATTGTTCTTTCTCAACTTGGAAATTTTTCCTTTACACTTAAATTTCCTTTAAAGTGGAATGACTTCTTCTTAGCTTTACGTAGTAGAGCTTTTAGGTCAGTTTATCTGTGTTGCATATCATTTGGGCACCTGTGTATTGCCAGATCTGTTTTATAATCTACTTATAGATGCTTGGGGTACTTGGACATTCAGGCCCACAAAGTACTTCCATTGTTTCCACATATTTTAAAGAAGAAAACAGACTTAAATAAATATTAAATTCTGCTTACATTTCCACGCATTCCATTTTGATTTTACTTAGTTTTAAATGTAGACATACTATGTATTTTATCCTCCTTTTCCACTTACCACTTTTATGACAGTGAAATGTTATCCAGTGAAGATATTGGTTAGCAATTTATATACCTGCTTTGCTGAATCAGTTCAATAACACTATAATTTTTGAATCTATAGTTTATTAGCCAATTCTAAGCCAGTCTTTGGTTGGACATTTGACATGTTTGGAATTTTTCACTATTTAGATGAAATCTATGTACATACAAAGTGCTTTTGAATAATTTGCTTTATTAATAGGTATTCCCTGTGAAATAGAATAGGTTCATAATCCCCATTTTCTATATTGGCAAAGGACAATGGTTATTATATACATGTTTACATATGTAGCATGTACATATATACAAGTGGTAATAGCATTAGAACTTGTCTTGAAATTCTAATATAAGATTTCTCTTTTTCCCTAGTAATTGGTAATGCTTAATGAATACATTCTAAGCACACAAGTAACAGTAAGAGATAATGGAAAGAGTACTGGGTTCAAAAGTCAGGAAACCTGCATTCCAGTACAGGCCTTGTGTTTGACTTACAAGTCATTTGACTTCTCTGGGCCTCATTTTTTCTGTTTAAGCAAGGGAATTAGATTGTAGCTCTGTAGTGTCAACTTTAAAATGCTACTTGGTCAACAGAACACACAATTTTACAGTATTTGTTTTAAAATTGAATCTAAAGAAGCAAAAATAAATAACTGTCTTGGTTACTGCTGCATTTTCTTCCTCTTAGATGATTTTCTCAAGCCACAGATAAGGATGCATCCTGAAACCATAGTTGCTCTAAAAGGCATGAACGTGACTCTGACATGCACTGCAGTAAGCAGTAGTGATTCACCCATGTCCGCTATGTGGCGCAAAGACAGTGAAATCCTGTATGATGTGGATATTGAGAATTTTGTTCGTTATCGGCAGCAAGCTGGAGAAGCTCTGGAATATACTAGCATCTTACACCTTTTCAGTGTGAATTTCACTGATGAAGGAAAATATCAGTGTATTGTTACTAATCACTTTGGTTCTAATTATTCCCAGAAAGCCAGACTGACTGTGAATGGTAAGGAATGATGCTCCTTGATATTTTTTTAGTTTAGAAGGATTTTTCATGTTCAGTTTTGAACTACTTAACCAAGAAATTAGGTTAACCCTGACATTTGAGGGGGGAGTCTTACTTTTGTCTTTTGGATTGAGACAATAGAGTGGGAGGGGTTTTTTGATTAGCTGCTCTACTCATTTGCTGTCCCTAATTGGTCTTTGGTTGAGGGGTCAACTCCATGGCCCTAGGAGATACACTACTTTCCCTGCTGTTTATGCTTTTGAAAACATTCTTTTGAAATTCTCAATTTTCTTTCCAAAACCATAATTCTCTTCTAAAAACTAGGAAATTTATTCCTGTTGTTGTTCAGAGGCCTCCTAATAACTGGGAATTATTAGGATCCAGTGATCATTATCATTGTCTGAATGTAGTCACATAGAATCAGTGAAATTAATGCTCTTCCCTTGGCTGTGAAAAACTTCTCCAAGACAGCTATTGCCTCTCACTGAATAACTACAACATTTTAGTCCTTTTGCAACCAAAAAATGTACTTGGGTCTTGCTTCTGTGCTTTTTTAATGAGATTTTTCAAAGAATGAATTTTTTTGAACATAAGCAGTTCCCTTGACAGTTTGTAGATGCTAGCTTGGGAAGTACAGTTTAGCTTTGTAAGTAAGGAAGTCATAGTAAATATCAGGTTCTAAAATATGGGATTCAGAAAGATTTGTGGCCTTCTGCTTTCCTTGTTCCTATCAAGATGATTGGATAGGTGTGTCATGTATCCTAGAAGAGTCAGTTGTCACTATGCTGCAAATATTCTGAGGTTCTGTGAGAAAAGATGGCTGCTAGAGCTGTATTCACTATCAGTCCAGAGAACATGTCTTCTCAAAGAAGTGGAGCATTACAACAGTTTGTATTTTGTCTACTAGATTCGTTCATGTGTTTGTGTGTGTGTGTATGTGTATGAGGTATATATGAGGGCACTTCAGAAAGTTCATGGAAAAATATAACATAAAGATACTATGAATCTTTCCGTGAACTTCTTGAAGACCTCTCATACATATTATCCCCATGCCTACTTTCTCTCTATGATCTTTCTTGTAACAGAGATGCCATCTTTCCTGAAAACTCCAATGGATCTAACTATTCGCACTGGTGCCATGGCCAGATTAGAATGTGCTGCAGAGGGGCACCCTGCACCTCAGATTTCCTGGCAGAAAGATGGTGGTACTGACTTTCCCGCAGCTCGAGAAAGACGTATGCATGTCATGCCCGAGGATGATGTGTTCTTCATTGCCAACGTGAAAATAGAAGACATGGGAATCTATAGCTGCATGGCACAAAATATAGCAGGAGGCCTCTCAGCAAATGCCTCCCTAACAGTGTTAGGTATGTTTAGTGTTCTATGGGTCCCTGCTTTTGTTGGAGCCTTTCAGGAGCTACTCTTGGTCTCAGTGAGCAAGAAAATAGTTTTGAGATTCAGTTGTGATTCTTATATCATCATCTCTCATTTTGCTGCTTTATATAGGGTTATGTCAGACTAGGATATTAGTGGGTCAGATAACTGAAATCTGGGAAAACTCTGGGTGCAAAATTAGGGATCTTTTTATTAGTATATGTGCTGCTGAAGCAAGCAAAAAATTAGGAATCTTAATGAATTGGAAATTCAGATCCCTTTATCAGTTTATGCTTTATGTTTCCCTCTGGAAGGTTTCTACTTCATATGTTTTTTCTGCTACTGGGTTTGCATTGAGGGTTCCACTATTTTTAGTATTAGTATCCCAGATATTTGATACTGCTTCACAGAGAACCTAAGATAGTTTAACTGCTTTCTCCCCAGTTCATTTTTTAAAATTTTATTATTTATTTATTTACGTATTTTCAGTTTTGTAACTTTATTTGACAATCAGCAGTTAGTTCTTATCCATATTGATTACAGAGTTTTGAAAGTGGTATCCAGGCTCAACAAAGCTTTCTGGACAAAGGAATAAGGAATGTCCCATGTCATATCCATGTGCAGTTGGCCAGAAAATGTAATGAGAATGAAAATTCACCAAATAAGCTCTCTGCTTTGGTTACCTATATACCTATTACCACTTTCAAAAATCTGCCGACAATCAAAGAGGTGCAGAAATTTGCCATGATGGAGATGGGACTCCAGATGTGGCAAATTTCCAGATTTTTGTGTGCCCAAGGGGCACGCTTCTTGAAACCCACACCATGGATATGCTGGTGAATGTTGATGGTGTGTTCTCTGCTTACCACCTTGTTTATGGCTGAACAGCCCTTCTTCTTGTCACCCTCCTTTACCGGAGTCGTTCTGCCAGACCCAAGTTAGAAAGGAAGAGCGTAAGGGATTGTGGGAGAGGGAAAGCAGCAGTCACAAGTACAGTTTCTGGGCCCTAAAAAATTTTAATGTAAATAAAATACCTGTTTTCTGGCTAGATTTCATGTTTTCCCTTTACTGTGCTCCTCTATGTTCTGGTAAAATGTCTTTTCCCTAAAAATTTCCCCGGACTAGCCTTTTTTTTTCTTATTGGAATACTTTTATTCATGGAATTCACCCAAGGCAAATTCTACTTTCCAGTTCTCTCTTTCACTGTATAGCAGGATTTTTTTTTTTAATGTTTGTTCATTTGTGTTTACTTGTATAATCAAAAAAATAAGTTGTTTATTGTTTTAAAAGTTTAAGTGGTGGTGCTGATAACACCAAGGTTAAGGGTTCGGATCCCCTTACTGGCCAGCCACCAAAAAAAAAACAATTTAAGATATACAGAAAATAGGAAGAGGGAGGGAAAGATATTCAAACACTGTTAAAGATTTTAATGTATTTTCTCTAGATTTTTTTTTTTTTTACTCATTTTTATGTAGTTAACTTTACCTATTTTTTTCCCATTTAATATTGTATCATAAGGGTTACCCTATCGTTTAAAAAAAAGTCTTCATAAAACATTATGTGGCTGTTCTGTAATTTACTTAATCATTTTCCTGCTGGATTTTTAGTCATTTTTCTTTATTTTTCTAGATTACAAATAATTTTGTAATAACATCTTTATGTATAAATCTTTGAATTCTTTCCTTAGGTTTTTTAAAGCTTTTGTTTTTCTGAAACATTAATGTCTTTTCCTCCCATGAATATGTGAAGGTGCTTATTTCACCATACCCTCATTAGTCTAATTCAGTAGGATTTAGGGAATAAAATTGCCTCACACATTTTTTTTAACATTCTCCTGGTAGAGACGCCCTCATTTATTAGACCCCTGGAGGACAAGACAGTAACCCGAGGTGAAACAGCGGTTTTACAGTGCATAGCTGGAGGGAGTCCTGCCCCTCGCCTCAACTGGACTAAAGATGATGGACCACTGCTGGTGACGGAACGACATTTCTTTGCTGCAGCCAACCAGCTTCTCATCATTGTAGATGCTGGGCTAGAAGATGCTGGGAAATATACCTGCATTATGTCTAACACCCTTGGGACAGAACGTGGCCATATTTACCTTAATGTCATTTCATCCCCCAATTGTGACTCTTCCCAGAGTAGCATTGGGCATGAAGATGATGGCTGGACCACTGTTGGCATTGTCATCATTGTTGTGGTCTGCTGTGTCGTGGGTACCTCTTTGATCTGGGTCATTGTTATTTACCACATGAGAAGGAAAAATGAAGACTATAGTATCACGAACACAGGTAAGTGGTACCCAGATGACAACTATGCTTGTATTTGAGTTTAGAATATAGGATTTATTATAAAGTTTTAAAAACTGAGGAGCTGTGATATGTTACCTGATATGTGGTATTAGGAGGTTTTTCTGTTAAAATTTTTATATATTCCTTGATATAATAGAAATTCTTTGAGGAATAATTTTAAGTAGTTATAAATACTCCCTCAGAACTTTGCTCTTATAAATGCATTATAAATGCACTTTTTTTTTTTAATGCCTGAGGTTCATTTCCTTATTTCTGCTGTAGGGCAGAATGGAGCCCTCATGAGTGAGGTCAGTCTTTTACACCTTTTACCCTGAAATCCTGCAATAGAAAAGATCCAACCAGATAAATTGTGAAAGTGTAGTTACAGATAAGATTTTAATCTTTAGGTTTTGTTTCTTTTGGTAATACTTTAAAAATGAAGCTTTGAGGAGAATTCTAGTGAGAAATAGTTTTAGGGTAAATATCAAAAGCTGTTGGGTTCCTAAGTACATACCATTTTCCTGGCCAATATAGGTTGAGTATCCTTTTTCTGAAATGCTTGGGATGAGAAGTGTTTTGGATTTTAGATTTTTTTGGATTTTGGAATATTTGCACTAATACTTAACAGTTCAGCATCCCTAATCCAAAATCCAAAATGCTCCAATGAGCATTTCATTTGAGCACCTTGTTGGTGCTTACTATAAGTTTCAGATTTTTGGATTAGGGGTACTCAACTCATAGAATCAAAATGGAATAAACTTGCAAAATAGTCTTTTGAGTTTTGGCTTCAGGTGCCTAACTTTGAGAGTTACAGATGTCTCTTTTACAGAGGAGCTCAATCTGCCTGCAGATATTCCCAGCTACTTGTCTTCCCAGGGAACACTGTCTGAGCCACAGGAAGGCTACAGCAACTCTGAGGCAGGCAGTCATCAGCAACTTATGCCTCCTGCCAATGGATATATACACAAAGGCACTGACGGTAATGACTGTTTGTTGTTTATGATTATTCAGCCTGACCTGTTGAGTTTATTTTTCAGTTTGTAGTTTCCCCCATTAACCTGAAGCAATATTTTAAAGTAAGGTACTCAGGGAAAGCATTTATTCCCATGCAAAATAAGATGAAAATTGACTATAGAGAAGAAAATCATCTTACAGAAAGGAGAAAGACATCACCTTTAAACGAGGGATTGGGCATACACAGCAGAGACTCCCAAACCTGTATTATTATAGGAAGAGGATGTTCTAGAAACTTTTTTCCAGTGTGTCTTACCCTTTTCAGGAATGAGCATCCTTCAGACCAAGGGATGTTTGTTTCTGCTGCTGTCAGGTAGATGTTCAGTTAAGTTTAAAGGGCAGTGACAGTTCTCAGCATATATTGGAGAGCATCAGAGAGATGTTAAAATGTTCTCTAATTAAATGAACTTGACTTCTCAACATTCTCTACCCCCTTCTCCCCTTCCCACACTCTCATTGCCACAGAGAGCAACAGAACATCGGAAGGCGAATTAAGGGATAGAAAAATTGGGTTTGATTTGTACTTGTTCTTTCCAGCTCTGTGAACACAAACAAGTTAGTTAAGATCTAGGCCTTAGTTTCCTCATGTTTAATAAATAATACTTTATAAAGCACTTCCCTCAAAAAAAATTTTTTTTTTTTTTTTTTTGCGGCTCTCAGTACGGAGACCTTGGTACGGAGACTGCACTCTAACCAACTGAGCTAACCGTCCAGCCCCCATCTCCCCCGCCCCAAGATTTTCACAGATTCTGTCAACAAGTCTGTGCGGTACTTCAGGTACCATACAAATGAAAAATTTATTTCTTCAGAGATTTTTTAGACTGGTGTCAACAGAACTTCTATATCTAATTCATGAATTGGATTTTATTTTGGCTTTTCATGGAAAGCAGGGTATTTATTTCTTTTTAAAGAATACTTAAAAGTCTTTATTCTTTGAAATTTGTGGGAAGTAACACTGCTTTCTGGTTTAAACGGAGCTACTTCTAGATCTCTTTCAGTTTTTTTTTTTGTCTTTTTCCGTGTCCGGCAACGGATCGCAACCCTCAGTGTTTGCCCCCGTACCGGACCAGGGACCGGCAACGGGATCGCAACCCTCAGTGCTGCTCCCGCGCCTCGCTCAGCCAGTGAGCGGGAACCGGTCTGTATGTGGGATCCGAACCCTCGGGCGGGAGCGCCGCCGCGCTTCCCAAGCGGCGCACTATCCAGTGTGCCACCGGGCCGGCCCCTCTTTCAGTTTTAATATTCTGTTGCTTGATTGTGAATAAATAACTCACTTTATTTCTCTCTCTTTTTCCTCTCCTTCATCCATTCAGTTTTCAAAGCACATTAACAATCAGGGAGCTTCACTTCTGCCAACCATACACTTGTCAGGCAAGATTCTTGACTGTCAGAGGCTTTTAGCAATTGGTGTTGCTTAACCTTTTGACTCATAAAAGTACCATGGGCTTTCATGAAGTGAAGTCATCATAACTGTGTTCTTTTCTTTAGTTTGCTTAAGCCAAGCATGTATCTTGCAGCACAGTGCCAGCTTTGTCTTGGCTTCCTTTATTTGATCAAGGACCTATTCAGGCTGGCCAGAGATGATTTAATGTAGTATTCAAGAGCTTGGGCTCAAAGCCAGAGTGCTTGGGTTCAAATTTCACTTTATCATTCTGGTAGTATGACTTTGGTCAAGTTCCTTTACTTTTTTGTGCTGTAGTTACCCTATCTGTAAAGTGGAGATGATAATAGTCCCTACCTCGTAGAAATGTCACAAGGATTAAGTGAGTTAATTCACAGAAAGACCTTGAAAACTTCACCTGGTTTATAAAGTATGTACCCAGTAAATGATAGTGATGATGATGATCATCATGTCAATAAATGACACCAGTGATGAAGATGATGTCAGTAAGTGACAGCAACTATGATGATGATGATGTCAATAAATGACAGCAGTCATGATCATGACGATGACCACAGCTATTGAAGAAAACTGATGATTGGCAAAAGTAATTCCTTAACAGAAGGATGTTTGGGTTCTTTCCCATGTTGTCGTTAGGTGGCACTGGTACTCGGGTGATCTGCTCAGATTGTTATGACAATGCCAACATCTACTCCAGGACCCGAGAATACTGTCCATACACCTATATTGCTGAGGAGGATGTTCTAGATCAGACACTGTCCAGCCTCATGATCCAGATGCCCAAAGAGACTTATTTGGTACACCCTCCCCAAGATGCTGCTGTCCTGGAGAGCCTAATATCATCAGCAGACAGAGAGCTATCTGCCTTTCCTACCAACCATGAGAGGATAAATGAGAAGAAGCTTTCCTGTACACAGATGAGCAGTGGTAAGGGGTGCATTTTTTGTTTGTTTGTTTATTTTGTTTTCACTTGCACCTAATTCATTTTTCCTTTTATCATATAGGTAGTGCTCTCATTTGACAGGAAGCAAACAAACTGGTATACTGGAGTAATTGGCCACTGTTAACTGGCGTAAACTAGAGCTAGAGACTTTTACATATTAGAGTTACAAAGAGGTCTTCATCTGTAGGATGAAAATAGCTTTTGTGGAGGTTACAAGATCATACTACTGAAAATTCAGAGGCCATACAGAAAAAGCTTTAAAAAAGTTTCACATAAGGTATTAATTTTTTCTCCCATCTTTATTAAATAATGGAGATTTGAAATACTAAGAATATAATTTGGGCATAATTTCATGAAGGTTTTTACTGAGATTTTTTTTTTTTTTTTAGTAAAAGATGACCAGTAAGGGGATCTTAACCCTTGTCTTGGTGTTGTCAGCACCACACTCTCCCAAGTGAGCTAACCGGCCATCCCTATATAGGGATGGCCGGTTAGCTCACTTGGGAGAGTGTGGTGCTGACAACACCAAGACAAGGGTTAAGATCCCCTTTCTGGTCATCTTTTTCTAAAAAAAAAAAAAAATCTCAGTAAAAGGGCCGACCCGCTGCTCACTGGGAGAGTGTGGTGCTGACAACACCAAGACAAGGGTTAAGATCCCCTTTCTGGTCATCTTTTTCTAAAAAAAAAAAAAAATCTCAGTAAAAGGGCCGACGTGAGCTAACCGGCCATCCCTATATAGGGATCCAAACCCGTGGCCTTGGTGTTATCAGCACCACACTCTCCCAGTGAGCAACGGGTCGGCCCTTTTACTGAGATTTTAAAATATTTAATTTGGTTGCCATTTTGTCAGGTAAATATTTAATCTCAACCTCACTTGGCAAGTGTTTTCTTTATCCTGTGAGGTATGATCAGGGCCAGAAGTGGGAAAGTAGTTTTGGGATCATATCTTCTGTCCCAGGAAAAGAAATACACATTATATTGCATAGATCAGGCATTTGATAACAACTTGGTCAGTAAAACAAAACTCACTCTAGACTACGAAGGGTACTACTGAGTATGTGTTCTTGTCCATCCAGGGTTTTCATTAGCTGTTACTCATGTCAGCCTGAAATGGAAGAGCACTGGAAATGGAGTAGAGGTTGAGAACTACAGTTTTTTAGAGGAAGGTAGTGTATAGTGGTACTTTCAGGGATGAGTCTGGCAGGAGTAAATGATCTAATGTGGGACTTAAGATGTGCTCTGTTTTTCTTAGAGACCAACTCTAAAGATTTCTAAAGAAGGTACAAATCAGAGGAAAGTACTGTTTTTGCAGTTAGCCTCTTATCTTTACATTCATTTTCTACAAAAGAAATGCACCAACACTCAATCTATTTTTCCATGTCCTTGAAGAGTTACACAAGAAAGGTTTAAGAACCAAAAATGCAGTGCATCTTTTTCTTAACCTTGAGGATGCCCTAGTTTTTAATCTAGTCTGTGAGAAAATCAGCAAATGAGAGTGCTTTGGTGCATTGCCCATTCTTTTCCTAGAGTACTCTAGCTTCTTACTGCTCATAGTGTGGTCTCTAGACTATCAGCATCGGCATTACCTAGAAGCTTGTTAAAAATGCAGAATCATGGTTTCGCCCTAGTGAATCAGAATCTACATTTTAATGAGATTCTCAGATTATTCGTATGCATATTAAAGCTTGAGAAACCCTGCTCTAGCTTACTTTTTACATGGATTTTAATTTTATTTCTGGGTGTTTGTTTCCAGAATGTTTAGCTAGCTTTTTCCAAAATGCACCCCATGAAGTTAATATTAAACTTGTAGTAAACAGTCTTTGGGGAAAAGCTCACCACTGTAGTAAATAAGAAGAATGAGAAATGCATCTTTTTGAAGCCAAAGTACAGACAGTGTGGTTTAATATAGCTGCTTTTGGTTATTATTTGTTGTTAGAATTATTTGCGTGCTAGAAGTTGGAAGGGAATGATTTTTAAAAGAATTTTTAACATTTAAAGATGTAATGGCTGCACTGAATCAATGATTATTATCTTTGCAACACGAAACTTTCATTGCCATGTGGGCATTTTTAAGCCTCTTTTAGTCCTTTTCCATGTGTCTAAAGAATTTTATTTAAAAATTTATATAGCAGGGCCGACCCCGTGTCTCACTCCAGAGAGTGCGGCGCTGGGAGCGCCGAGGCCTCAGGTTCAGATCCTATATAGGGATGGCCAGTGCGCTCACTGGCTGAGTGTGGTGCAGGCGACACCAAGCCAAGGGTTATCCCCTTACCGGTCACAAAAAAAAATTTATATAGCAGGGCCGACCCCGTGTCTCACTCCAGAGAGTGCGGCGCTGGGAGCGCCGAGGCCTCAGGTTCAGATCCTATATAGGGATGGCCAGTGCGCTCACTGGCTGAGTGTGGTGCAGGCGACACCAAGCCAAGGGTTATCCCCTTACCGGTCACAAAAAAAAATTTATATAGCAGCAGAACCACTAAAATAGCAGGCAAAAGTGCATAATATAAAGCAGGGACTTAGTAAGTAATTGGTTAGGTTTGTTGAATAGAAGGATTTGAAAGACCATGGTTCCAGTTTTTATTTTGTTTTGTTGTTTTAGTTGTGGCTAAGAAGATGGCAAGTATACATTTGACCTTAATGTCCTTTTTCAGGAATATTGGGCATCTTTATTTCTTTGAGGATTTGCTTAAAAAGATTAAGTTTTAGAAAATTAATTTTGAACTTCCAGTTGCATCTGATCATTTTTGTCTTTCACTCTCAGAAACGTTGCAGCAGCCTCTGTGGAATTCAAACAGAGAATTAGGCCTGCCTCATCCTTCCTTTTCTCAGCAGCCAGTCCTTGAGTCACCACCACTTCATCAAAAGGAGGTCTTGGCCGAGAGAGATCCAGACTTCTCAGCTTCCCCCATGTCATGCCACAGGTTACAGGACCACGCTTTTGATTTTAGTAGGACTCGGAACATTCAAGACGGTAGTGAGGGCACATGAAACTCACTTCAGGATGAAATCTGGGCAGAGACTCAAATTAATTAATTTTGTATTTACTACCTCAGAGTTCAGAAGAAACCCCAAAGTCAGCATGTGTTTTACTCTGTTTACAATTACATCTGACCACACCAAGATGGGCCAGGCATCTGTTTGGGCTTTTACTTGGCAAAGAAAGGGTAACAGCTGACAGAAATGGGTACATCTACTTGAAAATGTACAGCACTGGTAGTGGAAGATATGGGGGAGATGTGTTTCCTGATGGTTACATGGGGGAGTGCCTGTCAGGAAGAGCCTCATTGCTGTTTAACAGAGCTGGATTGTCCCAATCCTCAGAATGATCCTGAGAAAACATCACTACTTTGATGTCCTACTTTGCCTTCTAAGGAGCAAAAATATCTTTGGAGCCCTCTGGAAAGTGTGCATGAGATTCTTCGGTGGTTTTAAGCAGATAGTTGAGACTGGAGCTTTGATATTCAAGGTCTTTGGAAAGAATCCTAGGCTTGACCAGCTGGTTACCAGGTCAAAGATTTTTGTATTCTTGTGAATTTTCTTTTTGTCCCTATTCCCTGGGGACCTCATTGTAAATATATGTGCATTTATAAATAATTTTCTATCCATTGGCTATAAGTGTTGGCTGCAATGTAAATATTTTTGATATGCCAAATTATGTGTAATATCATTATAATATTGACAGTAGCTTCTCATATCACGGACAGATTTTGTATAACTTGGTTTAGTGAGATCTAAAAACTTTGTTTACAGTTTTAAAATCTTAATCGTTAAGAATTATATGTATGGGGCAGGGTAACTGGTGAGTGTGTACACACAAACACAGTGTTGGTGTAATTAACTGCTTTCTTCATGCCTAGAGGTTCATACGTCTAGTCTAATCATTTGCCATCTGTTTACAAGTGCCCGGTGATAATCCCTTTCTAGCATAAAAAGCCTTGTCTTACAGAGCCTGGCAGTCTCATCACAGCTACATACGCACATAGGTAGAGAAAAACTTGTTTTAGGAATATCTTCTTTCAGCACAGTACTTCATTGACAGGGAAACCAAAGATTGCTTCTTTTCTTTTTTTGTTTTGTTTTTAATTTCTCTTTTTAACAGAGCACAGTATATCTTAAGAAGGGAAGAGTGCTCTTGGGAATAGAAGAACATGCAGAAATTCCTATACTACAAAGCTTTGGAGTGGTCCTTGTTTTGTACAAGTGATTAAGCCAAAAAGTTTTCCTAAATTTTTGATAGCAATGAGCTTTATGTAAACAAAGAATTTAACACTCTAATGTAATATATTGGACTAAAATTCTTTCTTTGTGCTTTCAGATTTCCTTTCACAGACTTTTCGATTCTGTCCTCTAAATTAAGTATTACTAAATAACTTTAATCACTTAAATAAAAATATCTATTTCTAAGTTGTGGTGCATTTTAAGGGTTCTGAACTCCTGTAATTTCTCAGCTTTTTGACAGAGAGTTTGGCTGAATTTCATACTTGTTTTCATTCCTAAATTTTTCTCCCACCACTTCTTTAGCTGTTTAGTACTGCCACACGTTTCCTTTTCTTCCTTGAACATCAGCCTCTGTTCATTTTCACTTTGAACTTCTTAAATATCACTATTTTCCTGTCCTTTCACTAGTGGTTTTTCTCTCACTAGTGTAGTTTGTGCTGGACTGACTTGGAATTAAAAGACCTTGTTCACTTTCTGGCTCTGCTCCTTATTAGCTGTGTGATCAAGGGTGAGTCCCTTTATTTCTCGAGGCCTGATTTTCTCATTTTTGAAATGAGGGCATTTTAGTAGATGCTCTAAAGCTCTTTCTAGCTGTAACATTCTATGAATCTGTAATTTCCTCCAGGAACCAAAGGAGGATTATACTACTTTAATAAAAAGCTGCTTTCATGAAATGTTTGTTAGAGTAGAACAAGATTGATGCCGCTTGCGCTGGCTTGAACCAGATTTATTTCTTGTATAGCAGGAGTAATGGTCTAGGAAAGACTCATGAAGAGAAAAAAAATATTCTGCTTCTAAACAGTAAACATTAAAAATCTTGGCTTGTTTGAAAAACCACCTATTGTTCTCTAGAGCAATGTAGAGCATTGTTTTCTGTAG